TAAAAAAATAAATATTATTATTATTACTATTATAATAATAACAATGATAATAATAATAATATTAATTAAGTAATAATAATAATAATAGTTATTAGTATTATTATTAATTTTTATCATATGTTGGTGTGTTACATATACATGTTGCAAAGACATTTTATCTGGAAACAGTGAAATGTGGTCTGTTTGTCTGCCCAAGTAAAACATATTGTTGGGAGTTAGTTAAGCCCAAAATATCGGCTTAATCCGACCACACTTTCAATTATTTCCAATAAGTCCGTGCTTTTTAGAGTATCTTTTTAACAACAACAACAACAACTAACAATAATAATAATAATAATAATAATAATAATAATAATAATAATAATAATAATAATAATAATAATAATAATAATAAATCAAACTGATACTCTAAAAATAAATTGTTAAAAAAAATTCGGCAGGCTGCATATACTCGTCACTCATTTAGTTTAGAGAGCGGTTGCATATATAGAAAGTAGTTCATTTTATTTTTACTCTACTAGCTAGCGTTGTGGTATTAATCTGTTAATAATGCTAATTATTGCAATTATGAATATTGAATCCATTATTGAAAGGAACATCTTCATTGGCATCAAATGATTTGCAGTCTTTATTTGGACATTCAAATAATCACGTTTGGGCAAATGTATGATAAATAATAACATACCCACTATAAAAATGTGTCCGTCTATTATATACTAGTGTTGATACCCGTGCGATGCACGGGGTATACTATAGATTAATATTTTATTATTAAAATATTGTTAATTTATTTAATACAACATGATAATTGTACCAGACTCAATATATCAAGTCAGTAATAAATATAAATTTTGTTTGGATATCTTTTATAATTTATTTTACCGGTTTTGACTATTGAATATATAAATCTTACTATTTATAATTTTATAAAATAGTATTGATATCTTGATATTAAATATGATATTTGTATACAATTAATGGCTTACAAATACTTGTAAAATTACTAATTATCTTAATTTTATAACTTTTTGAACAAATCATATTTTGCATATGCTCGATAGCTAACTAATGTTTTAACCGTAAAATTTATTTTACGTTATTCTAATTTTAGATGCATGAAATAATAATTGTTTGATAATTAAATTTAAATTGTAGTAACTTTAATCGCTTATGCAACACATTTTTTCATAGTACACTATTTATTTTTATTTTAAATTTTTTCGTATATATTTATATATTTACTAAATATATTCAACATATATAATGAGTGTATTAATATCAAATTTAAATGTTGAGATAAATTATATATTTCAATTATTATCAAATGCTATAATTTTTAATTATGATATTTGACTATATATATTATCCTATTTACTCCTTTTTCTTTATTAAATAGTATATAATAAGAATATGCTTTTTACAACTTAATCTTTTTTTATGTATGCATATATTTCCAATGTTTATAATTCTTAATATCACTCGACCATCAAATAATAATTTTATTAATATATTAAATTTGATTTTCAATATTATATCTAATAAAATAATATATTCAATGAACATAAACTTTTTAATGGTTATGTTGACTATACTTTAGCAAATTTTGTTATTACTATAAATTATTCATTAAGTTAATATGATTCAAACATAATTATTCTGATTATTTGTTAGATATTTAAAGTACTTCTGATAGGTTATTATACTTAATAAAGTTAAAATCTACATCCATGAGATAATAATATAGTTAATCAAATCAATATTTAAAAATTTGAATAGTGTTAATTGTGTTAAAAATTACTACGAAATTAATATTAGGTCTTATTGAAAATACATGTCATCAATCAAAATTATATTTAACTCAATTGATAACTAATGAATAGTAGTCAATGAGTAAACAAAAAATAATTAATGTTCACGTATAAAATTTGCTAATAGATAAAGGCTAAG